TGTTGTAAACTTTGTATGAAGTACATCAAGCAACACACACATCAAATAAAACTGTTCCTTGTACTACATAACAAGTAAACTATATGAACTACTTTGACAGTAATTTCTCCAGTTGGTAAAGCAGCACAAGTGATTCAATATGATGATAGCAATCAGAACTTTGGTAACTCCCACTGAATGTTTTACACCCGTCTTCAGTTGATTCATCTCCTAAAAACTAGTCTCTGTGTAAGTTACACATTTAAGTATTTTTTTTCCCCATGAATATAATCCCTTCATGCTTGTTACCATCCAGCCTCTAGGGGCAGCTGGATGCAACAAAAACCATGTGGTTGAGGTAAAGTAATTTATTGCTCAGTCATGTAAATGAACACACACACACAAAAATGATTTGTGACAATGCAAGCAAAGCGGGCTGATGGGTGCTGCTAAATCAGAGAACCAAGTCAAACCAATCCAGGACTAACAGAGTTAAGGAACAAAAACAACTTAAGTCCCTCGTCAAATGTAATTACAATAACAGCACTCATAACCAACACAAGAAACTAAACAAACAAGTGCCTTAAAACACACATGACAAAAAACACAAGACACAAGAAACGTCCACAGTGAGTTAGCAGCAGCCAACAGAAGTTACGGTAAATGACACAAGAGGCATCAGGGCAAACTGTTCACATTAAATCCCAGCACAGAGTTTGGTTGTCGTTTTATAACCAGGTGTGTTGATTGCTGGGGTCTTGGAGGAGGGACCTGGGTGGTGGACCAATCAAGGGTGATGGGAGCAGGTCTGGAGCTCAGCCTTCAGCTGGGCCCACACAGGCCTCCTACCAACACAACGCTCACAAGTCCACCAAATAACCAAGACGGCACAAACACCAGAGGCTGTAAAATGAGTTAGATGTTATTTTATACTGTTACCTAATGTGCATGAGAATATGTAGGAAAACACTCCATGCTACTGTGACGAGCGGGGCGTTACTAATAGATTGCCTAAATGATGGACTAAGGGGGGAATGTGTTGACCGACAACGCCACCTGGGTTTAAGGTTCTCACCCAGGGAACCGACCCACTCCTGGTTCACACACACAGTAAAGCACACAGGTTCAAAACACACTGGGGGGAGACGTGGTTCTACATTATAAAAAATAGATTTTATTTTCGAACAGTAGTTAAAATACATTGACAGAATTTAAAATATAGAATTGAAATCACCAAAATCCCACAAGGCAGATTCAAATGAAAACTAAGGAAAACCATGCAAAGCAAATGAGAAATCAAGAAAACCATGCCAAACAAAAGAAATAAACTCAAGCAATATCAATTCTTGCAAACACAGGCAAAAATAATGAAACTCAAAATACAAAGCAAAACAACATCACACAAACAAACTAAACAACACTAAGCCCAACACAGGTAACAAACAAAAACAAACCAAATGAAGCGAAGCCAAGCAAAGGAAAAGCTAAGCTAAGCTAAGCTAGGCAAACTTAAACAAAATATAACACAACAAACCAAAATAACCCAAAAACAATATTACCAAAGCAAAACAAAGAATGCTGCCATGCAAGGCGAAGGCAAAATGAAGCAGAGTAAAAGATGCAAGTAGAGCAAAGCAGCAGAGCGACACCACCCAGAGCAAGCCGCAGAGAGACGGCGATGCTAACGGTGATGCTAACGGCGAGGCTAACGGCGGCAAAGCGGCGGAGTCACAGCCACACCTTCCAGTCACAGCCTCATTCAGCTGTGTTCAGTGAGCACCTGAAGAAGAGGGACACACTCTCTTATGTAGCGGCAACAGCAGAAGACTCCCAAATTGCACTTGCCGAACAGGCAGCCGCGAGCCAAACGTGCCGGCACGGGGTCCGTGACACATGCGGTACCTGACAACCAAGAGCAAGGCGACCCGGAAGTGGGCGGTCTCAGAGCCAAGAGCGAGAGACACCAAGATGGCCACCGTACCCTTATAAGGAAGTGCCCTCGAGCGGTGATAGGCTGAATAGCATTCTCACATTAGGTGCAGAAATTAGGCTTCACCCTGCCACACTACACATCTGCAAGTTGCGATTTTGCAGTAATTCAGTCATGCATGTTCCAACGACAGATTCTGAAGAATAATGATGCAGAAAGTTCCACCGTGCAAACTGACAAGATTGATTCCTTTAGTTTGTTCTGTATGAAACGCTGGAAAATCTCAATCTGTGTCTCTGAGACTGTCATCAACACACTGCAGTTTCAAGGTGGAAATGCTCAGCTGTAGCGTCGACTGCTTATTTAACTCGTGATGTGTCCTTCCAGCATATTAAAAAAAAAACACCATATGGGCATATCAACAAGGTAAAAAAAAAAAACGCTTGATTTTCACCGAAGGGGCTCTTTAATGAAGTGCCCATTATGAATATTAAGCTTGACTGGTCCGACACCTTCTTGCATAAATGTCAGTGCCATAAAACCCATGGGCTAAGCATAGCTGCCACCAAGGACATCACTGCTGACTCCAGCTAACGAGCTCCTGGCTCTCATAATTGGGGAAAACCTCATTGATGAAGCTGGTTCAGAAGGGAAGCACTGATTTGGCAAAGGATAAAACCTGCAAGGTCAGTCAAGGTATTTGGGTCACTTTGTTCTTGTGCATAAAAATCGTGTCAGTTTCTCCTCAAGAATTCATGCACGCGCTGAACAAAGATGCTCAGTTTCATTTATGTGTCTTTCTGATGTGCAGTCCTGAAGCGGAGGCCGACCCACCCACCACGCTGACCCGGCTCCAGCAGCGGTAATGACCTCCACGCTAACTCAGCACGAACAATTTATAAAAGTATTTTCCAAAGAGAGAGTAAACTGAGTATTAACACCCCCCTCTGTTTACTATGTACTGTATATTCATAAAGACAAACCCACCCACCTCAAAAGGATCACAGTTTTCCAAGAATAGTCAGATGCCCATTTAAAGTGAAACAAACAAAACAAAGAAAACAATGGAAAATAATTCACTTTTTCCCTTCAAGTTCTCTTATGGTGTGCTCTGGGATTTTTTTTTCTGAGCCTTGAGCCTAGTCCATCCATTATCTATACACCGCTTAACCCTCACTAGGGTCATGGGGGGCTGGAGTCTATCCCAGCCGACTCAGGGCGAAGGCAGGGGACACCCTGGACAGGTCACCAGTCTATCACAGGGCTGCACTTAGAGACAGACAACCAAGCACACTCACATTCACACCTACCTAACCTCAGCATGTTTTTGGACTGTGTGGGAGG